TAAAGTTTTAGTATCCAAAATTGAACCTAATTTAGGTTCAATTTTGGATTCTGAACCTAAATCAGGATCAGTGTAACTAGGAACTAGACATTTCTAAAAATTCATAGAGTATAGCTTTAAGGCTTTTACTTCGCTTCCCTCAGCTCCAGCCAATAAATCATTTTAATCAAAATACTGTATACATTAAATCAAGTGGCAATTCAAACTAAAAATTGCAGGCGAGTGACAAAGTCACCTGCAACATGTAATGTTGCTAGTTTATAAAAATTAAAAATAATATATTATAACATCACATTTAAACTATAGTTTTTAATTAGGAATTATACGAAAATAATAGCTTGGTATATAAATAATGATACAGTTTTTAATAAGTTTTTAATAAAGATATTCAAAAATTATAATTCTGTATTTAAAATATAACATCACTTTTAATTAAGAATTATACAAAAACAATAGCTTTGTATTTATAAGAAATTTGTCTATATAGATGTTTCGTAGATTTCGCAGATTCTGCAAGTTTCATCAGAGATTTTGTCATTTGAGGTAGTAGGTTTTGTCTTTTGTCATTTTGCAAAAGGGTTTTGTCTAACAACACTACCTGCATTCATAAAACATATATGAAAAACAATATTTTTATATGTGATATTATATGATTATATTATTTTATTTACTTAACCATTCGATCACAATATTTCATGTTATTATTAATGCACATATAATAATATACCTGAATGCTATAACTCATGCTTTAATTAAATAATAATACTTCATATGTTAAAATGAATTGCTTCTCTTTTGTATATGCCTATTGAAATATAAATAAGTCAGTTAATTGATAGAAAATATTAAATTTTAAATTATAAAAATAAGATCTATCTAAATTATCATCTGTCATCCATATTCGTATCATTCTGTTTCGTTAAACTGTTGCAGGAGAAATACCTTATATCAAATAAAAAACAATGAAAAAGCCTTTAGAGAAATTATCTATAGTGAAATATGCATAAGTATACCCACTATAAGTATACAACCTCTCTAAATGCATACTCAAATTCGGGCCCAACTATATATAGATAACCATAAATATATCTTCTTACTGTTCTAAGTGCATATTGCTAAAGTTTGATCCCAAGAGCGTGCGCTTATGGAGGTTTTACCATACTAAGGTTTACGAAACATTAATCGATAATTTCAATAAAAACTCATAGCTTAATGTTATCACAATTATTTCAACTTAAATTATTAAAAAAAATTCTCTTGTGACCATTACTCATAACAACTGCATCTATGCGATACAACTCTTGTTTTTAATATATACACTTTTTATTGTGACTTTTTATTAAATGATTTAATACAGTAGTAACAAGATTTTTTATTACTTTTATTTTAATTTACATTGAAAACTCTTAAAAATTTCAACAATCACTAGTCTAAAATTTTGGACAAATGGATTAACATGAAAAATCTATTAACATAAAGTAAATTTAATGTAATTAATCGTTATAGCTTTCTTAAAACAAATTACATCGAATGATCAACTCTGAAATTTTACATACGTACGTACCCTTACTGATTTATCCCTAACCTTCGCTAATTAAACTCTACATCTCCAAACATGATACTGTTATGAGTATACGTATCACTTATAAACGCGGCGGACCTCTGTTACAATTCTGGTGATTAGTGTATCTGCTCTTACAATTGCGATCATACAAGATTTTTTTTTTTTTTACAAACACATACCTATTATCTTTAATTCTCGTCTTCGTCTTCTGTAACTTCGAGAAGAATCTCTGTATCAATGTTGTCAATCATATTTCTAATTTGAAACCGAAGCTTATTTAAAAGCGTATTTGGCATAGCAAGAATCACTTCATGTTCTTTCACCACCATAATAGCTTTCTCAGTAAATCCAATATTTGTAACTATTACTCCTTGGACATTGTACATCCTACTAACAGCCGAAGTTCATTCAATGTTATTGTAACAGACTTTTCTGACATTACATCATTTATATGTAAAGAAAAAGTGAACATAGAACACTCAATTATTCAGCATCATATCTTTGTCGCGATTGTTAGACACTGTATTGGTGGTAAAATGTTCATTTATTTCATATTCTTCTTCTATCAAATCACACATTTCGTTCTTAAAATGCAAGTGTAGATTTTCAGTAATATTCTAAAACAAAGCAAAGCAAAATAATATTAGCACATCGTGCTATCATCATGTTGGGGTCTCACCACTTTCGAGCCTACTCACACTGGACTTCGCAAACCGGTCTACATGGACAATTTCTGTAAAAAAACAGCTACGTACAGGCTCACTCCCGTAGCGTAACTTGCACTGGCCACTTACTTGGCAGGCAATGCCAAGTGGATTCACATAAAAAATCTCACCTCTTCTACCAGATTACGTATCTTGTTCTTAAAACACAAGTGCAGATTTTCAGTAACATTCTAAAACAAAGCAAAGCAAAAAAATATTAGCATATTGTACCATCATCGTATTTGGGGTCTCGCCACTTTCGAGCCTACTCATGCTGGACTCTGCAAACCGGTCTACACGGGCGATTCCTGTAGGGAAATGGCCACGTACAGGCTCACTCCCGCAGCATAACTTGCATCAGCCGCTCACTCAGCAGGCAATGCCAAGTGGATTCGCATAAAGAATCTCACCTCTTCTACCAGATTACGCATCTTGTT